TGGCGTGTCGGTGGTGGCGGGGGGAGGACGACGACAGTGGCCACCCGAGGGGCTTGGGCTCCTCGCGGTAGCAGGTGGTGTGGCGGAGAGGTTTTCTTTCGTGTAAGAGCAGCTTCCCGGATGGTCCGGGGAAAAAACAAAAGAGGAGGTTAAATACAAACCACATCTCAAAATAGGCCTAAACTTTGAAAGCGTTTGGAGCTGCGCTTCCTGCTTCTAGCAGCCCCGAGGAGGAGATGAAAGATGCAGCTGAGTTTAAAAAAAAAAAGAAAAAAAAAAGAAAAACAAACAGACTGAGTTAACACTTTCTGCTGAAGGCAGAGGCACAGAGGTGACACAGCACACCAGGTCACCCCACGAGGCTGGGACGTGGCTCCAGGATCCCCGGTTCCCTCCGATAGTGGCCCCACGGCTCAGAGAGCCATGCTGGCAAGCCCAGGTGACCCAGGGAAAGGGGGAACTCCCTGGGCCTGGGGGTTTTAAGCAAGAAAGCCATAGGGCAGGCCAAGGAAAGCCCGATTCTGCATCAGATCTGGCCGTGGGACTTGCAAAGTGACCTGCAGAAAGGGAAACGTGCCCCTTCCTTCGAGTAGGAGACACACAGCCCTGTGTGCACACAGCAGCAGGTGCTCCATGAGGTCAAGCAGGAACAGAGCTTCAAAATGCCTCACACATTTAATTAATTTATAAAAAAAAAAAACAAACCACCAAAAAAAACACCCCACCAAAAAAAACACCACCCCTGAAGCCGAAGCACCCCGGAGCTGGGAAGTGGGGTTTGACAGTTTGGAGGGTAAGAGCTCGAGCGAAGCGTTACCGCTGCTGACTGATAGCGACCGACTTCTCGTAATCCGAAGATCGACTTCCTCTCGCTCCGCGCTCATCGCGGCCGAGCTGGAGGTGGGGACAGCCCACCGGCGGCTTTCTTCACCCACCAGCACCTGACATGCAACACCCGCTCCGCGCCAACAGAGCCGGAGCAACAGGATCTGCCTTACCAAAATTTAATTTGGCTGACAACATCCGGCGTTTCGTCAGGTTGCTTTGATCTTTGTTTACTTGCCGTCCCCGGCACATGCTCCGCACCAGCCTGCGGATGAATGGAAACGAAAAGGGCTCCACATCCCTTTGATCTCTCCCAGGAGACCTGCCAGGAGCAGCCGGCCCTGGAAACACCCCGCCAAGGGCCGGATCCAGCTTTCCCCATGGTGCTTTCGGCTGGCTGGTCCTGGTTAACGCCGCTCGGCAAGCCTTTGGGTGGGACCTTTGGAGTGAAGTCTTGGCTGGAGACAAACCAGCGGTCCCCACGGTAGCCATGGCGTGGTCACCGGCACCCAGCGTGCTCCCAGCATCCTTCGTCCCGCCCCGCAATAAAGGGATGTCTCCATCACGTCAAGTGGTTTGTTTTTATTTAAAACCGCATAAAAAAAATAAGATTTCTGAATTCCCCTGTACAATATTAACTATTAACAAAAAACCCGCCGGCTACACACTTGGTTACACGTAAAGACTCGACAGCGCGGACAGCTCGGGCCGGCTCCCCCCTCCCCAGCCCCAGACAAGACACCCGTGGGGAAAACCAAAACTCATCTGCAAACTGAGATCTGCACGTGGCAAGGAAACGACAGCAACCAGAACTATGTACACAGACAGCTGGGGAGCAGGCAGCCGCTCCGCACCTCCGCCAGACATCCGACAGAAACGCTACGGACCCGGGGATGGACACAGGACGGACACGGAGGGAAGACCCGAATGGAAAACCGGGGGATCAGCAGCTGTAGAAGCAAGGCGTGGGTTGGAAACCCACGTGAATTATAAATAAATAAATAAGTTATCCTATCGGCTAGAACTCTTCCTTTAAAAAACAAAAACAAATTCATGAAAATAAATTAAAAACAAAAACTGGAAAAAAAAGAAAAAAGGTAAAATGTTATCACTATCAACAACTGTACATCAAGCTTTGCTCCTATATAACTTTGTACACATTTACAGCTCTGTTGGTTTGCATTGTTTGTGCATTCGTGAGGGCACAGGGAAGCAAAGAACCCCAGAAAATCCATGCGAGATGGAGGCACGGGAGGCGAGGCATCGCCCGCTTGGCTCCCAAGCATCTTCTGACCTGTTTTCTTTTTGAAAAGGGAAAAGGAACTATATACCCAGGCGAGTCTTGGAAAAGCAGCAGTGTAGGAAAATTCAAGTATTTCCTCCAGCACAGCCCACATCGCAACTGAAGGCACTCGAGCACGGTGACAGCGGAGAAGAGACAGCCATTCGGCCACGGTACCTGCCCTCCCCCCCCAGTCAGTTTTCCCCCGTCGGAGCTTTTCTCGCAATAAGGTCTCCGATCCTCTCGCGGTCCCGAATTCAGCAGGTCAGGAAGACACCTGGGAGCCCCCAAAACCAGAACCCAAACCCAAAAAAAAAAAATTTACTGGCAAAACATCAAATGAGACAGGATGATTCAGATGGAGTCCAGGACAGCTGGGTTGGATGGTGGTCACCAGCGCTTGGAAGACCAGGTCTCCAGCCCAGCTCCAGGACAAGATGTGCGTGTTCCCATCTGATGATCCCTGCTCAGTGCTACGGTCACGAGGAAAAAGTCTGGTCGTCTTTGCTTCTTATGGCCAGGAGATGCGTGGAGCTGTTACTTGCCAGGCTCCTGGATCAAACTGTGCAGGTGGATCTCTGCCGTCTCCTGGGGCAGGTGAATGCCTTGCAGCCAAGAATGGTTGAAAAGGTCTTCCAAAGATGGCCTGTCCGAGGGCCGCATGGACAAACACCACCTGATGAGATGCTGGCACTCTGGGGAGAGAAACCAGAAACCGCCCATCAGTCAGAGAAGGCTCTTGTCCACAGTGCCCAGGCCGTGCTGGGTGTGCTCAGAGCTGCACTCAAACCCCCCAGTCGATTACCCGTTTTGGAGGAGAGCGGGATGGCAGGACATGTCCCACCTCCTCCAGCTAACACGGGAGATCAACCTCCTCCACAGCCGTTAAGAGCAGGATGCTCTTGTGCCCGGTGCCATCTCCCAAAACCCATTATCCCGCCACGAAGCCGGGTACCCACCTAGAGAGACCCGCCGTCGGAAGAAGAGCTGACCCTGGATGATGTCCTCGTCTTGCTCGAAGGGGACGTCCCCGCAGACCATGTCGTAGAGCAGTACGCCCAGGGACCAGATCGTTGCCGAACGGCCGTGGTAGTGGTGGTAGCGGATCCACTCTGGCGGGCTGTACACCCGTGTTCCTACGGGATACAGGGGGAGCTCGTCAGGCGGATGCTGCCCGCTCCCGGCTCCTCGCCTGAGCATCCCCGGGGATGCGGGGGCTGCACCGGTGGCGGGGGACACGCACGCTGTGACCCGCCCCCCCCTCGCCCGATTTGTGTTGTAAAAAAAGCTGCCGGTGCCGGAAGAGGGCAGCACGGGCCCAGGGAAGGCCCGACCGTTACATGCAAAAAAAGAAAAAAAAAAAAAAAACACAAAACCACCCCAGCAGATAGTATCATCATCGTATCTTCTGGTTAGGAGTACGATAG